TTTCTTTCTGCACTCCCATGGCTCGCACCATCACTTTCTTCCTTCTCTATCTCTCTTTCTTCTCGTTCCTCCCCACTCTGGCTCATTTCTCTCTCTCTTGAACCTTTTCTTCCTCAGACTCCTCTTTTCTGTTTTCTTTCTTTTCTTTCTTTTTTTTTCTTTTTTTTTCTTTTTCTTCTCCTATTTATATCCCACCTACCTCTCATCCTGCCCGTCCATCTCATCTCATCCCAGCCGTCCACTCCATCTTCTCCAAACGGCGTCGTTTCCTCCTCCTCTTCTCCAAACGATGCCGTTTCCTCTTCCTCTTCTCCAAACGACACCGTTTCTTCCTCATCTCCCCAACTACACCATTTTTTCCATTTATAATTATTACTATATACATATTTATACATACATACATAAAAGAAATTTTTTTTCCAATATCCAATTACTACAATTTACTCCGAAATTAACAACTTAAATTATCTTTAAATAGGCTTACATAAAATTTAAATTTTTAAAAAAATAATCTACCACTATCTACGAGATAAATATAAATTAAATTTTCTAAAAGATAAACTTTCACTAATAACATTATTTTTTAAAAATAAACATGTTATAAATCTAATTAAAAATAAATTCTATTTGAATTCAAATTAATAAATAAAATAAATTATAATTTTTATATCTATATTTAACATGTATTTTTTTATCTTTGCTTTCTTTTATCATATATTTTATATCTAATATAATTTTGTCCATTTAAATCTTGTTTCTTATTATCTAATAATATTAATTTGTATTTTGGGTTTGTTCATGATTTTGAAGTACTATGAAGATTACGAGTCATGTAGCTCAAGTTATAGAATTTAGCTTATGAGGAAACCTTTTGTTTAAATACAATCATAATCTTAGCTTTTGATTAAAAAAAAATGTATTTGATATTTTAAATTCAAGTTAATAATTTCCAAATGAATATGTAAATATTATGTAATTTACATATTTAAGTTGTATTTGCAAATTTTACATTCATATGACTTTATTTGAATGATTAAAAATTATTATGTTTATAATTTAATTAATAAGATGAATATAGTATTCAAAATTCATGAAGTTGGTAACCACCAAGTACTTTTACCGATGGCTTAGCGATTTCTATAGATTCAACCTATACAAACAAACAGAAAAAGTGTCGGTATAGGTGAATACTTTTGTATCAATGGTTATATTTTGACGACTTAGGTAGCTGTTTGTATAAGTTGTCTGAAGGGGATTTAACCAAATTTCCTTTGCTACAGCCCGTAGGGGCCTATGTCAACATAGGTATAACCTATAAAAATGGTTTGCCACTATTACTAAAGGTTATTTTCCTTGTTGTTATATATGTAATAAATAATTCCTTGTTTCTTTATAATTTTGCTTAATTTTAAATAACTTGTAGGAATATATTTTGGTTTTAATTATTTTTATATTATATTTCTATTATTTGAAATAACAGTGGTGGTATTTTAAATTTATTGATAATTTAATCATGATAATAGTCTCATCGCGCATAGCTTATTGACTATATTTATGTCATGACCCACGAGATATATTATAAAATTACGTGCGTATAAAAATTTGTAAGATAATTGATATAACAGTATTAGGTTTTATGATTAGTATACTTCAATTTTTTTTTTTTTTTTTGTAAATGAGTGTATTCATTTATTACTCTATAAATATATCTTTATCTTAAAAGAGTGTGGATTTTAGTACATAAAGAGAGTGTATGTCAATATTTAGTATAATATTTTGATTTAAAAATAAATAAAATATAATTTCACTTCTAATTAAACGGTCGCTAAAAGCAAAACTATTAGCAGAATGTCATACAAATGCCACTAAAATAACCAAAAACACATGCTCATGGCAGAACCGCCACCAAAGGTCACAAATGATTAATAAATTTAATAAGAACAATTAGTTTATTTCATTTAAAAAATGTAGATACATGATGATAGCATATATGAATAGGGAAATTGTATATAAATTATTTTTTGAATTTTTTAATACAGAAATAAGTTTTTGTTGTTTTTAATTTTTAAATAAAATTAAAATATATTGTTTATAATAATTTGAAACGTTTTAAAAATATATTATAATAAAATTAATGCTAATAATTTGCAAGATGACTGAGCACTAAATTTATAATTTATATACATATTTTTCGGGAATGCAGAATACTTTTATTTTAACAGTTGAGAGGAAAAAGAAGCAGCTCTTTTCTGTTACTCAGCATAAACTCAGCTGCTGTAGACAGTAAAGCAAATATGTATACAGTACATATATTCGTAGATACTCGGTGAACGATTTCATTTGAGAAGAAAGGAAGCCAGACGTTTGATCATTTGCTTTGCACTCTCAGACTCATAATTGCAAGTATGAAAGCCATGAGGTTCACCTTCAACAACAACCAGCTCCGCTTCTCCTTCCCACCCGCTTTCCTTCACGCCATTGTAATAGGCAAAAGCTCTGTGTCTCAGTCCATCCATGTCAGTTGTACTCACAAGTAGCTGACTGCACCCAAGACCACTCAAGCTCGGAGCTCCTTCCCCATGAGGGTTAATCATGGGACATTCAATTCCACCAGGTGCTGTTGGATACAAAAACTTCCATAATAAATATGGCAGCTTCTGCTCAAGCCCTTCTTTACGTTCTTCTCCGATTGGCTTCCACCCCCAGAAATAAGGGTGGGTAGTAAAAGCTCCTAACAGTTCGACTCCACCTGGTAATTCCTCAGAGCCTGCTCGCATGGCTATATTATGTGCTATATTAGCCCCTGCACTGTCTCCACCGATAAAGACTCGTTCAAAATTGGCGTGGTTCAACAACCATGGGTCTGGGTTGATGCCAGTAGTGTCAGCGGCCGAATGTGAAGCGACCCAGCGGAGCGCAGCCCAGCAGTCGTCGTAAGCAGAGGGGAGAAGATGTTCTGGGGCTAGCCTGTAGTCTACTGACACAGCCACGGCTCGGGCTTCGGCAACCAGCCGGTTCATGAACTTGGTTTCGAGGAAAGAGAAGGCAGATTCGAAGATGAAGGCTCCGCCATGGAAGTAGACCAAGATTGGGAGCTTTTGATTAGGGTTGACATGTTTTGGGAGGTAAAGTCGAGCTGAGATGAGAGGAGTTTCAGAGATGATAACATCTTTTGATGAGACTCCAGTTTCTGTGTCGTTAGGAGGAGGTACAGTGGGAGAACCCATTAATCTCTCAACACAGCCATCTTTGTATATGCGGATGTAAGGGAGAAGCTCTGTAGCGACTTCCTTGTGATCGTGATCGGCAATGGAGCCCATGACGGGTGAGAAATGATGAAGGAGAGAGAGAATTTGTTCTTGTGGTTCGTGTCCAAGTTTATAAACTTGAATTTATAGACAGAAAACACCTTGTATTTATGGTGTTGAGTTATTATGACCAGCAGCAATCAGCTGACACTAGGCACGAGAAGATAGAAGACCCTGTTTGAAGGATTTTCTCTTCCTTCTCAATACAATTTTAAAGGTTAAACACAAATTCTTTAGAAAGAAAATTTATGGAGAACTAATTAGTTCAATATTTATTACTTTTATTCCTTTAAAAAAAGTTATAAATTGAGTAGGACTGTGTTCCCTTATGTTCTTTTTGTTGTATTATGAAATAAAGTTATTTTTTTATTATATAATTATTAATGCCTATAGAAATGTGCTAATTTCTATTAAAAAACAAAACATTAATCATAAATAAATAAATAATAAACAATTTTTTTTTTTTTTTTTTTTTTCTCTACTCAGATTTGAAATGTCCCAGAAGTGAAACAATGGAACCGATTAGGTTGGACTGTTTAGTTTTCACTTAATAATGCTCAATGTTTGTTTGTTAATAAGAAAAAAATAAAGAAGCGAAATAAATTTCGGGGACCCGCAGCTTGCAGAGGATGAAGCAATTGGCTTGTCATATACAATTATGATAATTAGAAGTGAGTGTGTGGTCGTTAATTTTCCAAGTAGGGACAGCCTCTGATGGACACAGATTGAGACTTTGGAGGAGGTGCTTCCTGCTCATGAAGCTGGGAAAATGCACTGTAACATAGAGAGGAAAGGATGGTAATTTATGGACTAGGAGCGAGTTTTGCTGTTAATATTTTCATTTATTAAAAAATTAAAAACTGGTGTTATATAGATGTTTGTGTGTACATACATATCAATTAACGGTTGAATATTTTAGATCAATTGGAATTATAGTTTACTTTTAAAAGATTTAATAATTTGTAGTTTGTAGTGAGTTCCATATTGTTTTTAGATTGAGTATTTAATGTTCTAAAATTTTTAAACTTTTGATATATGAGAGTTCATATTAAAAAATTTAACTAA